GATAAAACATAAGCTGTGTGACTGACAATAGACATTGTCCAAGGAGTGAGGATTGTCAGCAGCTGCACAAACAAGGATAGCAATGCTATCTTTCCAAATGTCTTTGCCCATGTGACAAACCCTTTGGACATAGGAACGCTTTGTTGGCTGAGTGCAAACACATTGAAAGGCAATGTACTTGGGAGCACTCTCTCCACCAGTTCGAACTCTGTAGAACTTCCCATGAACAATCCGTTTCTGTAGATGCTCTGTTTGTATTGTCTTCTCCCGATCTCCAACAGCATTTGCGTCTGAAGAAGAGTGCGAGTTTTTCAGAGCAAGCTTTGCATGTTCCAACTGTTGTGTTGAAACAGTAACATCTCCGTGCAACATCTCTAGGGAGAAGCCGTACACATGACGTATTAGATCTTTCCGCTTCTCCCATTCACAGGCAACAAGCTTTGGAATGTGTCTCAAATACTTCTCCAAGTTTTGTCTCAACCTTGGATCCTGCAAATCAGGGTTGAAGCGTCTACGCAAGAATGCACAAACACTAGCAGGCAAGGAAGCTCTGGCTCCACCTTGATGCATACCCAGGTAATGGTGTTGCCCTTCTAGCTGCTGCATGACTGTTAGCCCCGAAGCATATGCCATCAACTCGAAAGCTAATGCACGTGGCATTTGTTTTGAAGATGTTGCAGCCCACCACTCCATGTCAGCTCTCAAATTGTGTGGGAAGGAAGGATCCAGGAACTTCCGAGTAATGGAATGAGTGAACTGGCGGTCTTGACTGTGTGGTTCCTTTTCATTCCAGTTGCGCAAGATCTCCTGACAGTATACTTTCGATGCTTGTACATAGGCATCAGCAACGATTTGCGGCATATCTGGATCACAGAAAAGCACTGGTGCTAAAGCCAACAGTCTCCATGGAAGTACTCTCCAAAATTCAAACACTTGAAGGACACGTTGTGCCATTTTGACCTTGCAAGCCTGGAACTCCTGTAGTAACTCTTGCCTCTTCTCAATATTGATGTTTTTCATCCATTGGTTAGCACTGTCAGAGGACAAGTTCAGGAGATCCTTGGAAAACTTGTCAATCCAAATGCCTTCAGCCAGTTTTGAACCCATGCGTCCTTTCCAACAGCATTTGGAACATGTTGCCTGTAGTGGTTCCCAATCATGAGCGCTGATAGGGCATGAGTGGAAGAAGCTTGATACAACAGCCCCCCAATTAGCCAATTCAAAGCACAGACAACACCTCGCCCAAAAAAGGGCTGATGTTTCATTTGCAGGATCTGCAACCACTTGTATAATTCGCATTTCCTTTTCAGTAAATTCAGCAAAATTATCTCTCGCAGAGCCAGAACCAATGTCATTTAGCAAGAAAGCCAAAGATTGTTGCCTTGGTATCAACCAGTGCAATACCTCGTAAATGAAATTCCACCGTGTTGCCACAAGGGTTGGGCAAGTTGCTTTGTACATGGTTGCAAAGCTCTGTTTTAGTCTGTAGCTTTCTATTTGCTCGTTCTGGAAAATACATTTGACGATGAACCGATCGCATCTGTCCCGTATACTGAAGTACCGTGATAAAGATGCCAGCTGTTCTTTGAACTCATCATCCCACGAAAAGAATTCTGTCATTACCAACATAATGTGGTGAAGTCCATGGTCTCCATCGGGAAGTGGCAATGCGTTCTTGAACAATAGCAGGTCTTCCACTGAAAGAGGCTCTGACACATCTTCACATTCCACAGATGGTGTGAACCACAGGGATGACTCTGTGCCAAAATCTGTCAGAATAGAGAAGACACGATCGGCAGTGAAAGAAAGATCTTCAGACTCTAGTCCAAGACAGAACTTGATTTTTTCCAATTTGTGAGCCGCCGAACCTGATCTTGTGCCAACACACTGCAATGGCATTAAGCGCTTGCTGATGGTTGTGCTTGTGTAGTCAATTCCAACCACTACATAATCCAGTTGCGTGACAAGATAGTCACGGCCATATTGTGGGGATGAATCACAGCGCACGTGACATATCCATCGGTTTTGTTCATCTGCGGATTTACTGAACCAGAACTGTTTTGCGTACAACATGCAAGCCATGTCCAGATTGATTCGTGCATCGTATAGCAGGCTAGCGCTTGGAAGTCGTTTGTTTTTCATTTGCTGCAAAAAACACTTCGCAAGATCTGCTTTCAACGATACCATCAGAGACCTGCCAACAACCTCACGCAAAAGGGAAGGCTCACGTATACTGTCACATAGCAGTACACAATCCAATAAATAGTGTGCCAAATACATTACACCTCCAATGTTCTTGGAAGCATCCTTGTCCGGGAGTCAGGAGTTGCTGGAAACTGCAAACAATCAGACAACCCACTTGTGTCATAGTTAAAATTGTTTTGACTCACTATTTTTTTGAAGACTCTTTTTGGACAACTAAGAAACACATGCGCACAATACATGGGTCCTGCAGCCCCACTGACCTGGAACTCGTTCCTGAAGAAACCTGGGCGGCGTTCCATGTGCAATTTGGCAAGTTGAAGTGGACAAGCACTATCAACAAGACATAACACAGTTCACACACACAAAGCAAACAAGTACCAAATAATATGTCTGAAGAACCGCAATCAATGATTCAAGCTCATCCAGAGCTTCCATTGCTTGTGCAGTTTGGTTCCCTGACATGTATGATCTCAATGATGCTAACAACGACCCGATCCTGTTGGTCGGCTGTGGAACATGAAGTTGGCTCCGGCTCCTTTCCAACAAAGCTTGCCCTGGCCCCTGCTCCGCCATAGCATCTACCAAACCTGAGACCCCTAACAAATCCTGCTCATCCAAGTCAAGAGGTGGAAAAGGTTTGGCAGCCAAGTTGAAACACACAGTCCGGTTCGCAAAGGCATCGTTGACTGAGCGAAGAGGACACTGACCAAAGTAAGCTTCAAGGTCTTCTACTTTCCAAAAAACTCGATTCCCGTCAAGAAAAGTGAGTCTCGGCAAGGCTGTGTGAAGATGTTGCAAGTCATACGGGAGTAGTTTCGACGCCCTGCTAACCCACTACCAACCCCAGTGTCACCGTCACCAAGGCTTGATGTCACATGAGGATCTATTTCTCCAGTAAATGTCATGTCACTGCCGAACTTTGCCAAAACCATTGCGGCCCCTGCCGCATCAGAGCTGCGCAAGGACACAACTAGCTTCACATAGGCACCATCTCGGAATTGCAATCCCCACAAGCATTTTTGCGAAGGTACTTGCACTGCAAGCCGTTTCTTACGCTTCGAACGCTGCCCCGTCCCTGTCTCCATCCAAACCCGCAATTCCTACTATCGCCGCGAGCACTGGCACCAAAATTCACAATGGTGCCAAAAAGCTACAGAAAATGACATAAAGACACAAGCAAATGCATTGCCACCCAAAAGCTACAGAACATGGCATAAAGACACAAGCAAATGCATTGCCGAATCCGAATCTCGTCTCACTCTACTTTACATCCAACTCTCACTATCCTGATTTGGCTTGCCATCCACAGCAGCATCTGAAGGAGAGCGGCACCCTCAAGCACACTCATTGATGTGCAGTGGTTGGCACACGGAATGCAAAAAAGGCTGAGCATTTTCATACTCAACCCCACACTAGTACACTAACCATTGACGATTCGACATATTGAAGCTAACTGATGTGTAGCTTGTAGCCCTACTCCGTACACAGAAACAAGAAAAAGCAATCAGAATCATTGTCAGCTTTGTTTGGACAATGGAATCCATGGAAACACATCCCGGGCTACCTGGGAACTACTTCAATCTTCTTTGCACAACCGAGTGCTCCTTACCCTAGCAGCAAGATCCTGTTCGACCTATCTGCTTTGGAACAGAAGCCTTGCTGGATTTCTTTGTCTTGGTCTTGGTCTTTTTTGAAGACTTCGAAGTCATAGGCATCGGCATAGGATTGGTAGTTGTAGCCGTACTTGAGGATGGCCCCACTCCCACCACCGTGATAAGATTGGGTCTTGTAGCTGTATTTGAGGATACTGTCAACGTTGAACTATCTCCTGGCCCTGAGCCTCCTGATCCATGGTGATTTGTTGACATAGGGTTGATGTATGGTGGGTTGGAATCACTGGACCCACCATCTGTGTCATTAGCACCGCCGCCCTGGTTCCCGCCGCCGCTCCCTCCGTGGCCGCCCCCAATCACAAAGAGCAGTGTTGGCATATGAGACGGCCTGTGAGAAAAGTCAAAGGTAGGGTTCGCACCTGCGTTGCTTCCAATGAAGGTAACCACATTCTGCCCAGTGATGGTCAAAGAAAAAGGATTATCTGCTCCATCACCAATGATTGTGGATGACCCGCGCGACCCCAATCTCGACTCCGGCATGCGAGGCATGATCGAACGAGTGATGAGACTTAAGATTGCTTCTTGAACAAGAAATCTGCGATATCCTGTGTTACCAACATTGATTCGACCAATTCGATCGACTCGAACTGTGTACTGCATCAAAAGTTGTTTGCTTTTTACATCTCCGTCTCCAAATGGCACACCACCTTGAACAAATGTGGTTGATTGCTTGACCGACACGTTGCTTATTTACATTCACATAACATCCCCCGGTCAAAGAAAACAACAACAACAACAACAGCAACAACAACAACAGCAGCAGCAGCAAGAACAGCAACAACAACAACAACAACAACACACGACGTGCGCGCGCAATTCGACACAAGACCTGCTCTACATTTTTTGTGTGTTCATAATGATCCTGCTTACCATTCCTTGAAAGTCTGGCTGGATTTAGTACTTTCTTCATTTCTGTTTTATATTTTCCGTCTAAGAGCATTCTGCGACAAAAATGGTAGAACATCCTGGCGGCCCGAGGAGGCCTTCTACCTCACTCTTTTAGCACTTTTGAATACAAGAAGTGTCTGGGCGGCCATCTTGTTCAGGGTGCGACAAAAAGAATAAACCTGGACACACCGAAACAGCAAGTTCAACTTCTGATAGTCATCTCAGCTAGGCTACAAAGGACCTCCAAGTTGGACTCCCGATAGGCTTTGGAATGGAGGAGCTTCCTTGGCACGGTGACGAGATCTAACGAGCAAGGAGGTTCCCTTCAACAAACAAACATTGAACTCTGTATGTACCACCTGGTTGATCAAAGAGTCTGTTCTGGTGTCTTGCAATCAATCATTTCAATGTGTCTGATGTTTCAGGGATTACTCAATGTCTTTTGCGGTTTTGATTCGGAATTCAATGTTTTTCTTCAACCGATTCAGCACATGCGCTCAGAAGAACATGAGGAGAACCGACCTTGACAAAAAGAACTGCAAAGAATGCACTGCAAGTTCTAGCCTAGTCTAAGTCGATCATGGCCACCCCAAAACAATTTGAGAATCGCCAATATACACTCGGCCCTATGTCTGGATCTGGCTCAAAGGAGGCAACCTCCAACCAATCGAGGCTTTATCTGTACATCCCTGCCTCAGCTAGTGGCGTGCATTTCTGATACTGGAGCAAACTGTCCACAAGAATTGGTAGGTCAAGGGACAGCCATTCATGACGACTCCTGCGGTCAAACTCTCCCCTTGAAACCATTGACTTTCATATGGGCATACAGGGATAATTGTATAGATGATTATAGATGTTAATCAAGATGCCCATATCTGGATTCTACTTCTGCTACAAACCACCTATCACTACGTACCCCTTCCAACCATCCCAAGCATCAAGCGCTGGTCCTCGAAGTCCAAGGCGGTCACCGGGATTAAGGTCGGAAAGGACTTCCTGGTGAAGAACCGCGACGCCACCAGTATGTCAGAACATGCAGAACCGAGTCACATCATGTAGATGTTCGCAAGATTCCACAAGAACATCTAAGAACCCACCAATATACATGTAGAGCCTTTTTCTTGCCATAGCAATCCACAAGTAGATCCAACAATTAATATATATATATATATATATGAATCTGTGTCCCATAGCTGGCCTTCGTGCGCATGACATTTGAATTGGAGGGAATGCCAACCCCTGGCTCTGCCATCAGCTAGACCTTTTGCTGGTACTTTGGGACGCAAGCACTACATAGGATCTTCAGGTTCAAATAGGGACATTTGACTCCTTGTCTGGTGTCCCTATCTTGACCGCGAACGGAGAAGTTTGGATATTTTGTTGGAGCCAATCACGGTCCTGCAAAACAAAGATGTAACCGAGTTCCTCCCAAACATCTAATGTGCAGGACATAAGAGAACACTCGGGTCTTATCAAAGAGCTACAACCAGGACTGGCTCGAATTTCTGTAGCTGATAGCTTCAGCTTCGATCTTGGAGGCAAGACTTGGCATTTTGAGTTGCTGAGCTGCAAGTAGGAACCTTTATGCTAAGTCTTCCAGACTCAGAAAATCAGAAAATCAAACGCAAACAAACACACCCAAACCTCGATGGTCCAAGCTTCTGCAGAAGTTTCAGCAAGAATGAAGATACCATTGATTGCCTCAAGAACCAAAGCAACTGAACTGTGGAGTGTCTGAAATTCAGAAAAGAACTGTTCCATTCTTGCGCATTTGTGTATCTCAGAGCCTAGTTTTGCAGGGAAAGCACGACCAAAAACACTTGAACCTTCACATGGCGACACAAATCAAACAACGACACCCTATTTCACTCAATGACACAGCCAAGATTGAAGGTTGAGTGTAATGTCCATGTGTTCAGTCTAGTGGACACATTTCTGGTTTGCAGGGATGCTCAGCACTTGTTGTGGTCGTATGGTATGAGATGCATGTTTGGTATGGTATCAGAGATTGCAGACTTCAAAAGCATGTCTAAAGGTCAAACAGGAAAAGGAAAAATAACAAAAACATCCTTAAGCACGGCGTTCAGAAGGGTTTTCATCTCAAACTCCCAAGTCACACGTATGTCGGGAGCCCCTGACAAACCTGAAACAAGCAAACCATTTTCGGCACCAATGACTGACTGCTTGGATTTGCCTCTGGGCTCCGGCCCTTCCATGAATAGGATGAAGCTCTAACAAAGTCTACTGAGTCTACAAATATCATAGTCCATTAGTCCATAAATATCATAGTGTTGGGTATTTGGTTTGATCCCCATGGATTCAAGGGCATCATCCTAAATCCAAGCCGCATGACTTTGCCCTGCATCTTCTTCCTTGCTCGCTCCTCCTCGTCGTCTGTCTCCGGTGGCTCGCGGCAGGCCTGGTGAAGTACTATCTCCACACACTGAGCAAATGGGTGGTTTTGGAGATAAACAACCGAAATATACTGCAACTATTGAACACAATGCTGACCAATTCGGTTCTTGAGCTTATACTCGGCAAAGAAGCGATTCGTCTAGGATTAGTGATGTGTTTGTTCCCTTTGAAATGTTGCATCAACCCCCCTTCAACTCAAAATATGTCTCAAAACATCACAAGCGGAATTCTCACACAGGTTTCAGTGAAGTCGCTTATCAAAGCTATCAGGTTGGCCTTTCAAGGTTGGGTAAGGCTACAAACGCGTTGGATAAGTGATGCCCCTTCGGCAACTCTTTGTCCCGGACATCTGGACAAACACACGATTTTGAAGTCGACATGCCTCGAAGGTAAGATCTGTCGGGCAGAGGGGAATGTTGGAGAATGTCAAAGTCGACAAAGTGATCACCGCGATCACCATAACACATGCTTACAAGATCTTATACGATCACTTTGGTCTACCGTAGACAACCATATCGATAGTCTACGGTTGCCCTACATCTCTGATGTTCCAAGGACATACGTACATTGTTTGACATAATTGTTCTTCTCATATCTCCGAAAACACAGTTGCCTTGATTTCACTGCAGTACATCTATGCATATATACATTAATACTTCTGTGACAGCTGCCTTTTTCCGATCAAATCAGTGCATTTGCAGCATTCCCATTCCCGTCCTTGGGAAACACCAGCGCCAGGTCAGCCAGGGCCCGCAGGCGTTCGATGAACTCCTCGGAAAACATCGGAAAACAATCCCGGGGATTCCCGGGGTTCGCCCGTGCAGGGGGTACCCAACAGCTTTGTGATAAGCTAGCATGCGCCAAGCCGCTCTTGATTCCATTTTCCTTCAATGCCTCCGCTAGTTCTCTTCTACAACTTTGCCCTTGCTGTCCCTTCCGCTGAACCAATCAATGCATCTGCCAACAAGAGTCGTCTTGGGATCTCTGATCAGGACACTCAAAGTTGGTACATCTCTTCAACAAGGTTGGCAAGCAGGAGCTCAAATACCTAGGCGACCAACCCACTGGATCGCTGGACCGCTCGACTTGCAAAATCTTGCAAAGCATCGAATTAGCCACACTATGCTGCACTGACATCCATGTCCAGAGTTGATGACATGTCAGGAACAAACATGAGCAAACAAAGTAATTCTTTATTTGAGTCACCGACGGATCTATGTATTCATGGGGCACCTCCGGGCTTTTGGCCGCCTACTAAGGGCCCACCCATCTCAAATTCTGCTCTGTTTGGTCAACCTCAATCGCATACTGGTAAAAATAACCAAAAAAAACTATCGACAAAGCAAGAGCATTACGGCTCTTTGTGAGAATATAGCCAGTGGTTGCTTTTGACTTTTCTTGAACGCTATTGCTTTGATGTAGTCTCCATCCAATCAAGGGCAAGCAAAAACCTTCCCTTCCTCCATTTGGTGTTTTGTTCAAACCTGTGTGGTGACCAATGGAAAATACAAACATGTTGTCATGTCGTTCATGAATTCATGGGTACCGTCACAGCCATGTTGTCCTGTTGCCTCGCCAAACTGACTAAGGAGGTTGAACTTCATATTGTAACATCGCCATATATCCCGTATCCCCCAACCCGACAGGTGTTATTGCCAGTCTCGACTACTTGTTAAACCAAAGCGTATCCTCTCCTGATCAAGATCAAGACCTGTTGTTCTGTTGCAGGTGCATGTAGCGCGACTCTGCACGGATGCCCAAGATTGCCGCCTTCAGTAGCAGGATGGCCTCCGAAACGCTGTCTTTGTTTGATCCTAACTTGCTGCTAGCTTGGCACTTTGGCTCTCAAAACTGAGCTGAAGGGCTGTACAAAAGCTCTGAGAACTTATACCGAAGATGGCGACTTGGATGCACACAACCCAGCAAAATATGGAGGCTTCGCCCCATCATCACGACATGCCATCCAACTTCCTACACACGAAAGTCATCAAAGCACCTTGAATTTCCCATGTCCCACCCCTTCCCGCCTTGGTCTTCACAAAAGGTGGCATCTCATTGCACAAGGCCTCCATGAGGAAGGTATACCTCTCGGCCGTGATCGGTCGACGAAGCGAGACGTGTCCGACGTGTCCGACGCGGGACCGGGGCCCCAAAGACTGGGGCTCCAACTCCAGCGACTCAGTCTCCAAAGCGAGAGAACTTTCCTGTTCCCTTCCCAGGTCTACTTCTAACGCAAAACTGATGCAAGTGGCATCGAGTGGCATCTTGAGTCCTCACTAATTCCCCAATAGCCATGCTATGGGGTCTTGCAAAACTAATAGGCGGACGGGCGCCGTCGGGTCACCGTCAGAGCTGGTGGGCGGATGGTGTCCCG